GCGTGACCTGGCGCCCTATTTCAAAATGATATTTTGACCCCGGGGCGTGTTTTGCTCGCGACTCCACGTGAACTACGTGTGGGCCAGTCCCACACGTAACATCACGGTGAGTGGCCTTTCTGTTCAATATGGCGTCTATTTGAAAGTTTGATCTTCATTAATACTTTAACCTTCTTTTCCACCGAATAATAAAAAGTATTCTAACATAAAGTACGTCCAGGCTCTGAGGAAGGCGAAGTCGCCGAAACGTCAGCCATCGATCAATAACATCAAAAACAACGACTACGACTACGACAGCGAAGATCTGTACCAACCTCGCGTCAGCTTAAGAAGATCAGTTTATAAGATCACATAAATAAATATAAAAACTATAAAATATAGTTGTTTTTGTTCGATTGAAATTAATGCCAAAAAGCATTACGTAAGAGCTCGCTCACACCCAAAAACCCTATGCCAGTGTTAAACCTGAGTTTTTTAAACATACAATTTCATGCCAATTGAAAGTTGCTGTGAACGTTTTATACATTCCCATGTGATGACTTTTTCAATTTCACCTACTTATCCACAAATTGGTGGTCTCTTTGGCCTGAGGTAGTTTTGTTTAGAAATAGACCACTGACTCAATGTATGTGCATTCAGTAACATTTATAAAAGCATAAATTGAAGAAAAAGAATCCAAAGAATAAAAACCATCTGTATTTTTCGTAAAAGGGCGCCTGTGGCGCAGTGGTCGGAGGCGCCCTTCAACACACACGTGGATTCGATGCGCGCTCCTATGGCCAACCAATCCTTCCATCCCTCTGGGGTCGGTAAATTGGCACCAGATTTGTTTGGCAGAAAAGCAGCACTGGCTCGATACATCGATGGGCCACGGCAAATCATTGTAAAGGCCAAACAGGCATACAGTCACCTCCAAATGATGCTTAATGAAGTCAAATGCATGGCCCATCCCTCAGGGATTGATCAGAACCGAGAGCTTTATCCTTTCATCCTCTATTTTTCGGAAGGCGCGTTTTTTCTTAAAGGGAAACTTCCTTGTTTTTGCTCAGAGAAATTATCTACAACTTTCAGTTCAATTGTTCATACGGATCTTTAACCTAGCTCTGCTTTACAGTTTAACACAAGAAGAGCAACTATAAGTACGAAGAAAAATTCTTTGTCGCGGCAAGTTCCCTTTATTCCACCCTGAAAATAAGGACTTTCTAACGCGTGAAAGCAAACTACTGGCGTTGACGACCAAGTAGGCCCACCGTGTTCTCTTCCATCTCACCTTATTTTTAAAAGATCTTGATGTTGCGCATTTGTTTCACTGTTTCTTAGAAACGATTTTCTATTGAAGTTGTTTCTGTGGGTAATCCTAGCGGAAAAAAATGTAGAATGACTGCTCCAGTTAAGTTTCTTTATATAGATTATATAGTCTACTGCGACCTGCATTGAAAAATTTCACTAAAAGTCAAAAATAAATCATTTGAAAAATTAACAATTTTTCACCAAAAATAGAGTTATGTTCACTGTATAACTGTGAGCATTGACAGCGATTGACGATGCATTATCACCATCACTGGCGACCAGTTGGATCCATAGCAGCTATTCCCTACTCTTTACGAAGCTGTTTCCACTGAAGCCGACGCCTCATAGTGAGCGGACCTGCTTTCATGGCTTTGCCGCCATTGGTTCTTGAGTAGAGTGAAGTAGTGTTCGGCTCCTTCCTCGCCGACCACTTGTTTTCGCAATATCGAGTCGATTTTTTGTCTTCCATCCACGCATACCTGTTTCACAGCTTGGATCATCACCACTGGAACGACCACGCAGTACCAGTTGTATATCTGAAATTTGGATGTTTGGCAGTTAATTTGAAGATTCAAATATTTAGGAAAAATTGGCTCTACTAACAGACTCCGCGAAGCGTGACTTATTTTAGTTAGTAGTTATTGCCTTTTTTCATCACCACATTCTAGTGGATACGAAAGTGTTCTTTGAAAATAGCAATTTTAAGCAGAGTTATCCATAGTCGAACTTTTCCTCTTCTGTTGGATCAGAGAATGTTGGTGCTCACGTAGGCCAGGTTCGCTAGTGTTTTGTTCAGAATTCTCGGTGTGTAGTAGAAGGTCAGGCGTACAGCCGTGATGAGTATCGGATACAGGAAGATGATCACCGACTGCGTGATCGCAGGAAGCACAGTGCATCTCGATTCACCTTCGCGTTGAAGTTTCGCAACAAGTCAAATCGTGACCTAAACATCGTTCCAGCCGTATTTGCCTTTACCTTATTTAAAAAAAGAACTTCGCATTACTAACGCATGCCAAATACGAGATGATCGATACATTTCTGTGTGTTTGCGCTTAGGAATCGAATGAAAATAAGGGGAAGAGATTTCCAATTATCTAGGAATTCCAAAATGTATAATAAGCTTTGAAAAGATTAGTATTTATCGTCTATGTGCCAAAAAGATTACATTTTCGAGGATGGCAGTAGTGTTGAACACGAATAAATTGGGGTTAAACCTCATTTTCCAAGGAGATTTCCTAACTTATGATGTTATTTTCGGGCAAAATAAATCCCGTATAGGATATTTCTCCAATGAAATAAAGTATGAGGTGATACTGGTTCTGTTTAACCAAAGATTTCTACCTACAGTATGACGTTTCGTCGATGTGTACGGAAGAGAAGAACTGACATCACGAAGCACAGACAATTAATCGGCAACAAGGCGATAGTAGTGATATTGACATCAGCTGAAATTTGGTTATATTTTGTTATATTTCTACACGCCACAGACCTCGTATGCATGAGAGATCTCCCCTTGATGTTTGGTCATGAAACTATGAAGCTCGCCCTCAGTAATAGACAAGCAGATAGATTTTACGAATGGGTACCACGATATTCCTTCACTTAATTAACTTCGCTATTCACATTTATGTAAGCCTGCGTCTATGTTTATACATCCTACTACGTCGATACGGAAAAAAGCCTTCAGTCAGTGAATGACAAGTATGACGGATGTCGGCTGACTCGCGATTATAATAATTTTGTGGATTCGTCGATGATCAGATTGAAGAACAACTCACCTTTCGACGAGGGAGGAACATACAAGCACGAAAGTACTGTATCGCTCGGGATGGCGTTCCGATACACGAGCAAAGGAAACAAAGACGCCACGAAAACCTGAAACTGAGGAGCTATTGATGCGCAGTGAAGCCATTGATGAAATCTAAATAGTATTTCGTTAGCTTATTTTTGAATTATTATTTGCAATCGAAATGGATTGGTTACCTGATTTTTCGACTTCCTAAAAGCGGAGCGATTCGTGAGATGAGTTAATGTATTCTGGAAAGCACAATTTCACGTAACCATGACCTATAGAACTAGTATTTTTTGCAAGCATGAGCTTACACCAGTTTGTTACAAAGATGTTCTATTCTAGAGCACATATTCCAACCGCTTAATGTTCTTAAGATTACCAATAATTCGAATATGCTGTCTACGTTGCTGTTGTTCTGAATGTATGAGAATTCATAATTGAATAAAGTCGAATGACTTGGAGTGTAACTCAGCGCGATTAACCCTTTGGAGCCTTCTCTTTCGTTCTGTGAAAGAATGTTGGAAGCGAAACACAAGCCACAATAAAAGTTTCTTGCATTATGAATAAACCATATCGGTGTAGAAAAAATCGCCACATTACCCTTTATTCAAAGCTATCTTACGGACCAATCATTTTTAAGTGCAAATAACAAATCAAAGCATCGATCGAAAGTGGTTTTAAAGCCGTAGCCATTTTGAATAACAGTTGTCTCTGGTACTCCATTGGAATAAACAACGTCACTAATCTTTTAGGTACCACAAAAAATGATTTTCGAGTTACGAAGCTCCCAGAATTTCATAAAGATTTTTTTACTAAACGGTCTTTTATTTAACCTCGACGTGAATAATCATATCTTGCTCCTTACATTCTTTTATACTTCTTCAGCCTATTCAACCTACACGAGGATGCTTTCAAATCCTTATTCGGCTGAAGTTTAGGCGTTTTTTCTTCTTCAAAGTTGGATTGATCGGACTTGATTGTCCACCGTCATTCATGCTTACGAAGTGAGTCCCCTTGATCGCATCCGATGTTTTTTAGTGGAGCACCGCTCGATTTTAGCTCCGAATCTCACGCTGCAATGCCGTTTTACACCGGATGGTTGTTCACTGATCGTTAACAGACAATGATTTCTTTTAATGAGGGCGATTCACAAACGAGGGTCTACTAAATTTCTGGTAACAACCTCGTGTGAGTTGGACAATCTGAAGAAATATAAGATAATTTTTAATTATTAATTGTTACCTTTACTTAATACTCTACTATCAATCCGTCGTTTTCTTCCTCAGTTATCTCAAGGTTGTTAAACAGCGTACGTTTACTTCCATGCAATAACACACATACAACACAATCGTAGCTGACGATTCAGCAGAATCGCCTTCTTCAGAGCTTGGAATGGTCCACTGATATACAATTTACTAGGCCAAACGCTTAAATAACACATACAGAAAGATGAGAATCTAAATAGTAGTCACTTGCCTTCCACTGAGCAAAAGCCGCTGATCAGCCTCGCATATGGTTGACGACTACACCTTGTCACATCAACGATGGAAACGAAGGTACGGGACGAGATCACGTGTGATCTCGGGGCATTCCTTCCTTGTATTAATTAAAGTGTTTCGGCATTTATCCAAAAAGTCTCAAGAAGCTTCCGAACTAGTGTTTTGGCATTCCGCGCTAAGGTAGTGACTTTTATATCAAAATCGTCTCCGCTATGCTTTTGTATCCTATGAGCCCCTAGTGGGGTACGTAGTCTTGCTTTTCGTTTGCATCTAGGTGTTCTTTTATGCGGATACATGAAGGTCTACCCGTTTCGCAAATATATATTCGCAAATGAGAGGGTTGCCAATGGGATAGCGGTTGGTACCAAGTTTTGCCATCGCGTTCATGTCTAGAATAGAAACCCCTGTTATCGATCTCGCTCAAGTTCACGCGGCAGAAGCCGAAGGAAAACTGGTTTCCGTTTCTAAACGTTCAAATAAACCTTTCAAGTAGTGGTTACATAAGAAAATGATACCGAAAACCAAGTAACAGAAATGTTTTCGTTTATTCCTCTCTTCCCACCCTTCACACACAAAAAGGGCGCTCGTAAGAAACATCTTTCGAACAGCCACCTACGTGCGCACGAAGAGGGAATTGAAAGAGGAATCGCGCGACTTGGCTCGGCAAATAGCCATCTCTAATGGCTACGAAATAATAACCGGCGAGATATGTTTAGGAGAGCGATGCCCCAAAACTAAACACTTGGTCAGAACAAGGTCCCGTTTATGTTGCACCTGATTAGCGATGAAATAAGTATAGCTATAAAATGGTGCTCAAGAAGGGCAGACCTAGAAGGATCGGTTGCGATAGTTGAAATACCACCCGATTCCTTTCGTCGTCAGTTAGTTCGTAACCGACCATATGATCGTCTATGCGAAACACAAAGTTGCGTAATTTGCTCTTACGGCAATGACGGTGATTGCATGAGTTCAGGTACGATATACCTGATCTCTTGCAATAATTGAGGAGATGAATATATTGGCGAAACGGGCAGACCTTTGTGTATCCGAATGAAAGAACACCTCGATGGCAAACAAAAAGCAAGACTAAATACCCCACTAGGGACGCATAGGATGCAAAAACACAGCGGAGACGATTTTGATATTAAAGTCAACATTACGACGAAGATTGTCAATCTCCGTCGATCTTTGACAATCTTCGTCGTTTACGCGCCTACATGCATAAGGCTTCAAACTACGACGAAGAAAAAGTCGAAGCGTTCTATGTGGACTTGGAGAAGTTCTACAGAGAAGACCATACATTCTTCAAGATCATCATTGGAGATTTCAACGGCAAGAATTGAATAAGAAGAACGTCACATTGGGAGCCACGGATTAGAACTGAACGAACAGGGTGAGCGGCTATCTGAGTTTATCATGGCGACCAAAACAATCCATGGTAGAGTTCCAGGAGCTCCACCCTCAGCGCTGGACGTGGGAGTCTCCCAATGGAGAGTACCATAACGAAATAGACTAAATCATAGTAAATAGAAGGTTTTGCCTAACCGTTGTAGCTGTTGTCCCAAAATTCTACACCGGACCAGATCATCGGCAAGGTTTTATTTCTTGCGGAAAGGAGAAAAAGCCGCTAAATTCCAAAACCGAAGTCCCAGAACCACCGTTAACTCGAATTTATTCAATTCATTAGTCAGCTGTTGGGAAGATGCCGTTGTCGATAACATCGACGGAGAATACGATAGGCTCATTCAACATCTTCACATTACCGTTATGAAAGTTCAGAGTTCGAAAGTCACCAAGAGACGTCTGTTTCCAGAAACACTCGAGCTGATACGCCAGTGTGGAAACGCACGAGCTGCAGGCAATCGCGAACTAACGTCTGAACTTGCAAAGCATTGCAGAGAGGCGATAAGTGAAGATCTTAGAGAGAGAAGAGCAGCAGTAATGGCCGAAGCTGCAGAGGCTGGCGAAGGTATTCGCAAAGGAACAGTTATAGCGTTCAGAAAGGTAATGGAAAAAATCATTCGCGAATGCTACTCGGATCTCTTCGATAGCCACGTCCACCTTTGGTCATATGAAATAAAGTAGGATGGATATGTTGTACCATCGGTTCTCCTTCCCGAAATCCAACATGCCATTTCGTCGATGAAAAATCGAACAAGACCAGGTCCGGACAGGATAAAACCAGAACACCTGAAGAACCCTCCGCCCCTACTCAGTTGAAGATCAGCAAGACCGTGTTATTGTTCAAGAAGGCCCGCACGATATCGGCAACTATCGCCCAATCTGCTTACTGCCCGTCGTCTACAAACTTTTCACTCGAGTCATCCTAAACGGGATTGACAGAACACTGGACGAAGGACAGCCATGTGGAGCAAGCAGGGTTTCGAAGAGGATTTAGTACGATGGACCACATCCATACGGTAACACGGCTCATTGAAGTACCGCGAGAGTACAAAAGACCGCTCTGTCTCACTTTCATCGATTTACAGAAGGCCTTTGATTCAGTTGAGATGGAAGCAGTATGGGAAGCCCTTGATGGTCAAGGAGTCCCTAGTCAGTACATAAGGATTCCTCATGAGCTGTACAAAATTTCACAACCAATATATCACCATTCTACGACGATAACATTGACGTCAAAAGAGGGGTAAGGCAAGGCGATACCATCTTGCCAAAACTATTTACCGCCACCCTCCAGAACGTCATGCGAACATTGGAATGGGTTTGTAAGGGAGTGAAAATCGACGGTCGGTAGTTACACTATCTTCGCTTTGCTGATGACATCGTCCTTATAACAACAAACATTAGCCAGGCGGAACGTATGCTTGACGACTTTGATAAAGCCTGTGGGAAAATTGGTCTTCGACTAAATCTCACAAAAACGATATTCATGGAGAACGGATTAGCTTCGTATGCCCCATTCACGCTCAACGGAACGAATATCTCCGAATGCTCCAGTTCTATCTATCTAGGTCGGGAAATCAATGTGATGAACGACCTAGCTCCAGAGCTGGGCAGAAAAAAATGAGCGGCTTGGAGAGCTTTTAAGACGTCAAGTATGTAGTGAAGGGAACAAAGATCATCCGACTTCGCGCCCACCTTTTTGACTCAACGGCACTTCCTGCCCTAACGTATGCGTCAGAAACCTGCGCGCTGCGTAAACAGGATGAAAGGCACTCAGCGTTATCGAACGCGCAGTCGAAAGGACGATGCTAGGAGAATCCCGTTCCACACAACTATGGAATAGGATCCCAAGCTCCGATCTGCGTCAACGATCAAAATTCATGGATGTCGTTCTGCACGCCGAGCAGTCGAAGATAAGGTGGGCTGGACACGCAATGCGTGTAAATGACAACCGATGAACAAGAGCTGTAAGTGACTGGATTCCTCGGGATGTCAAACGTACTGCGGAAAGACCGCGGACCCGATGATCAGAGTTCTTCACAAAGAGCTTTGAAGAAAGATATGATACTCGATGAGTCCCTAAAGCAAGTAGAACCAACTGGGTTACTCTTGCACGCGACAGGGAAAAATGGAAGATTTACTGGCGCCCGCTAGAGTCACTCGACGATCAACGAGACTACAGGTGATACAGGTGATGCGACTCTGATCAGCTGTTATTCCTCAGTGGAATGCACTTAATAAACGGTGGGATTTTCGAGAAGCTGTTAGACGTGTGATTGCGATTTAGATTTTTATCTTTCTGTATGTGTTGTCGGAGAGTTTGACTTATTAAATCGCCTATCAATATACTCTTCCAGGCTCTGAAGATGGCGAAATCCGCCGAAATGTCAGCTTTAAGGGAATAATGAATAAAGTAACACCTCGTGTTTGCTCAACAAGAATATCGATTTCTAGAGACTCTTTGAGCATCGTACCCTTTTTTCTTGGGTTTTCTTAAACAACTATCCATTCGTTCGGTTGTCTACCTGTTGTTCGTTTGACATCTCCAGAAATCTAATCGTTTACGGCTGTTGTCCATCGGTTGCCGTTAAGACGTATCCAGTTCACCACGGATTGACCAATTTGGCTTATAAAACGGCATCTTTGACTTTTATGGTCGACATAGTTGGAGCTTTAGAACTCCTCTCTCACTTGCGTAATAAAGAATAGCCCTTGCATCTGCGAATTCTATAACGCTAAATGATCTTCTATCCTGATTAGGTAGTAAGCAGATTTCCGACGCATTGCTTAACATGGATACCTAGATACTTGGATATCCCGTCTTCAACGGATGTGCGGACTCCAGTGCAATTTCTAATTGTCGGAGTTTTGCTGGTTTAATTATTGTGTTTCCCTGGAGACCCGAGATCAGTCCAGAAAAAGTCTGCCGCAGGTCGCCACCACCACAATCAATCGCCGCCCTTGTGGATCAGAGTGATATTTGCCATTATAATTTACTACTTCGATGCAAGGACGGTGATGGATCCTGGTATTGATTTACTCTTAGGTGGCCTTCCGCATGGAAACGTAGGACTTCTTCTCAGCTTGGGAGGCCCTGCTGGAGGGATGAATCACCCGCTGTACATCGCGACCGACACACAAGAATACATCGCAGCCACGATTAGGAGGTAAACCGTTGGTAGGATGCATAATTTAAGCAACGAACATTTGTGGAATCGAAGAGGTAGGCATGGAGTCGGGCGTGTCCTTTTTGTTCTCCTCACTACATCCTCCATGCGCTTGAAAGCTCTCCAATCTGTTCGGTTCCTCTTAACGTAGCTAGAGCATTCGGAGATACTCATTCGGTTAAGTGAGAATGGAGCATACAAAATCAATCCATTCCTCTTGAACATAGTTCTGAGACTTAGGCGAAGACCAATTTTTCGACAGGAGTTATCAAAGTCGGATAGTGTTCGTTCTGTGTGGTTAACGCCCACTGTTATAAAAACGATGTCATCAGCAAAAACTCGTGGAGCTCTACGTAGGTATATGAGCTCGAGAGCTTCGGGAAAAAGGTGATTTTTCTGATACTACTGCGAACGCGGTGCATGAGCCGATCGATTTCTCTATTTATGAAGTCGGTAATGATATCTTTCAAATTTCAGGAAGAAAAGAGGAAATTAGTATTTATGACGGTTTCAAGATCTCAACTTTTCGTTTTTGTCGCTTTGTATTCTGCACTTTGGCATGGCTACGATATTGACCAGGTAAGATCTCTATTGGTGCTGATGTGGTCAATTTTATTGCAATAGTACTCTTCACTGCTAGTTTCCCTTGCCGAAATTAATAGAGAGATTAATAATAGTCTTCATTGGGGCCCAATTCAAGCGAGCGCATAGGATTGCGATCGAAAAAAGGCTCCTTTATGTTATCCGACTTTAAGAGAAACTCACGAGGTATTGGAGTTGGAAGTGAGAAGACGTAGAGGATATTAAGGTACAAAAAGACCAGGATGAGATTTTGAGCAAACAACGCATTCGGCATGGAATTGGAGGCCTTCATTAGTAAACGAAGACGACAAAAATACGTCACTGAGCTGAACGAAATGAGAAGGCGTCGCTTGTCATAAATAGTTTTTAGAACTGAAGAGTAACTATTTTTGGGAACACATTACAGAACGGGGTAATCGAGATTGCAGTTTTATCCCACTGTCAAAAATTTATTGGCGTATTCGTCAACTATGTAGTGCAGAAGAGTCCTTCATTCCGAAGAGTCCCGAAACCCTACTCCACCCGGTTAGAATGCAAGCGATTATTGTGTGTTTCTCTAGCCAAGGGATCCACATATATTGCAAGGACTCTTTGGCTGCTTCGCAAAAACTTTATACCCAGAATCTCGTTATACCGCAAAGATATCACAACAAATGCATGGAGAAACCTTTAGCGTGTGAAACCATTTTAACGATTTTGCTAGTCATCTCACTAGGATATCCTATGAACAAACTAAAAGCTAAAACCATTCAAATGTAGGGATTCTTTTTTTATGACTACAATTTATGCCTTGCTTATTCCTCTGATTATATATTGCCAGGAGTTTAATAAACAGATAAATGAATGAAACTTGCACGGAACTTGCCTCGAATATCAGTAAAGCCGTGAGAATCAAGTTTTAGGCTGAATTATACCACGAGCAGAGTGCATCAAGAAGACGGCCTACGTACACAAAATACTGGTTCAGTGATATCAAAATCGCAAAAAATGAGATGGAATGTCGAAAGGGCGCGCAGAATGACACCATATTCCGAACTGCACACGGATCGCTTTCGTCAGAATGGAATGACCGCAGAAGGTGCAGAACCTGAAGTGGGGAACTATATCCACAGTATCTTACGTGACTTTTACCAAAGAACAAATATTTTAAAAAGGTAAGGAGTTCCTCTCAACGCTCTACTGTTCATCGTAGCTGAGAGGTGTTCCTGGGTTTGGCGTTGCGATGTGAAGGAGATTCATCCCTCCAAAAGTGCTTCCTAAACTGATTTGTATATATATACGTAAACATATTTATAGAAAGCCATATTTATATGCAAGCAGAAGTTTCCTAACACCCTAAATGCAGCAAACGACAGAGACGAAACAGACGTAGAGTTTTCACTGTAAAGGAAGTTAACAGTAAAAGATGCAAAGATAGAACTTAAACATCAACAAAAACAAGCTTCTTCGTACCAAAGATTTGCCTAGTTGGCTTTCTATTGTCAGTTCTTGGGCTATGTAGTCCTTGATTACTTGGAAGAGTTCCTCTGTTTGGGGTGTTTAGTTGATTCGGCATTGCCGTGTTTCTCGTAGAGCGTGTCGTTGGATTTTTTCCGCGAACTTTTTCAGGAGTTGTTGTTGGAGATATATGTTATCGACTTGCTCTCCTTTATGACGTAGTTGGCAGGCTATCGAGTGGAGAGTTTCGCACAATATTTCTTGGTCTTCTAGTCGCGCGCTATTTGTCTGTGCTCTCTTTAGCCTGCTCAGTAATTGATTTATGAGGGATTGATTGTTGTCATACTTGGCCTTTAGATGATCTATAACTATGGGATAAGATTCTCGTGAAATTTCGTATTGCTTGACGAAAGTCCTAGCCTTCCCATGAAGAGAGTTAATAGATAGTTCATTTTGAAATGGTCGTCCATCTGCCTTGAATGGACGGAGTGCCCGAATGTCCCCCAAATGCTTCACCTTCTCAATACATCTCTACTGAATTTGGGGATAGGGATGGCTGGTAGATTTATCACCGGTGGAGCAGTATGTGATCATTCTTAACGTTATTTTTTGTGCTGTCCAGTTTATTCTTCATATCGAGAAGATTGGAGAGGTATTCTGCATTATCGAGGTGTTCAAGTGACCTATTAACGTTTAGTATTATACCTTCCTTTAGTTCCTCTGCTATTGTAGTTTGCAGTTCGAAGTTGCCTGCCGCTTTAGTGTAATTGTCCAGTGCTGCCTACATACTGTCGAACACCCTTTCCTCCCGCCTGGAGGCACTAACAAAGGCCATTAACCGCCTCAAATCCTTATTTAACAAATATGACCAGGAGGTAAACTCTCCAGTAGACATTCCTCCTAACGAACCTCAACGAATGGAATACCTCGTTGCACGAAAAGACGCTATAAAATAAGCGGCTTCGGCCATTACAGAGGACCCAGAATCGAAAACCCGTTTTAAAATAAACTAATACCAGAAACCACCATCGTCGTGGTATCAGACTACTTGTATCCTGCCAAATGCTTCTGTGATCAACAAGGAAGGCGACTACCTGAGGTGGTGAGGAACTGAGGAAGGCATCAGTTAGACCGATCTGGAAACTCCAAGGAACCACATTGACTACACCCACCAAGATTCCGACTTTGGTACCTCACACATTGGGCGAGAATCATAGGTTTCACACGACGTCACTGGCAACAGACAAAACGAGCACGCCGACGATACGCCACGGAGACTCCGTGTACCTACGGCATCAGAACGCTCTTTTCAGACACCGACCTTTACGCTATTCTTGAAGCTTCCTATCGCATCAAATTTCATGTGATCGTCCTATTAGAGAGGGAAAGCAGGAAGACAGACCTACGCCAATTAGATGACTAAACCTTTGTCACTTGTGGAGGGAAATTTCCGTTACGAAATGTCGGATGCGTTGGCTTTGTCGCACATCCGTCTATTTCCCCTCTAGTAACCTCATTTGAAATCCTATCACCGCGCTTGGCCACTTTTCTCTTTAACTTGCGTGTAGGCTTGATTTCGGCTTCTACATCGTCCTTAAGCAGTCGGCTATTTTTGGTTTCTGCCTTCTTTTCTGATTTTGGTTTTAACATCGTCTCCGAATCAACTAGTATAAAGGCAGAACAAAGGAATTGTTGCCTTGTGTCTACGATTTGGGCGTCGAAAAAAAACGCAGCACACAAGATCGACTTTCTATTAACCTCGCCACTGGATTATAAATACGTCGTTTTCCCACTCAGCAATCGCGAGGTTGTTAAACAGCATACGTTTACTTCCATACAATAACACACATACAGCACAACCGTAGCTGACCTTTCGGCAGTATTGCCTTCTTCAGAGCTCGGAAGAGTACACTAATATGTAATTTGCTAGGTCAAACACTTCAACAACGCAAACAGAAAGATGAGAAACTGCACGATAATTACAAGATCTACGGCTTCTCGAAAAACCCACCGTTTTTATCAGTTTCCCAGCAAATGAGAACAGCCGCTTAGAGTCGCATATGGTTGACGACTGCACCACCACCCAACAACGGTCGATACGAAGGTAAGAGAAGAGACCACGCGTGATCTCCGGGCATTCCTCCCTGCTATTCATTCTAGCGTTCTTGGTATTTATCCAGAAAGCCTCTAGAAGTTTGCGCGTTGATGTTTTCGCGTCCTGTGCGAGGATATTGACTTTAACATCGAAATCGTCTCCACTATGCTTTTGTATCCTATGCGTCCCAGTGGCGTGCCTTGTCTTGCTTTTCGTTTGCCATCGAGGTGTTCTTTCATGCGGATACATAAAGGTCTGCCCCTTTCGCCAATATATTCATCTCCACAATTGCAAGAAATTAGGTATATCGTACCTGAACTCATACAGTCACCGTCATTGCCGTAAGAGCAAATTACGCAACTTTGTGTTTCGCACAGACGATCATATAGTCGGTTACGAACTAACTGACGACAAAGGGAATCGGGTGGCATTTCGACTATCGCTACCGATTCCCCTAGACCTGCCCTTCTTAAGCATCGTTTTATAGCTACACTTACCTCATCGTTAATGAAGGGCAACATAAACAGGGTTTTGTCTTGGCCACGTTTTTCTTTTTGGGGCATCGTTCTCCTCGGTTTATCTCGTGGTGTTACTATTCGTAGCTATTGGAGATGGCTATTTGCCGAGCCAAGTTGTGCGATAGTTCCTCTTTAAGTTCCCTCTTCGTGCACGCAAATGTGGCTGCTCGGAAGATGTTTTTGTTACTTGGTTTTTGGAACCATTTTGTTATGCAACCGTTATCCGATAAGTTGATCTGGACGTTAAGAAATGGAAGACAATCTTCTTTTGGTTTTTCACGGGTAAATTTGATGTACTCAGACTGCTCATTCAACAGTTCAAAGCATTTGTCCATCTCCTCCTTAGTAGAGAAGATGACAAAACAGTCATCTACATATCTACGGTAGAGAACCGGCCAGAGATAAATAGCGGGGGCTTTTATTTTAGGCATAAATGCAATGGCAAGACTTGGCGCCAGTCGCTGTCCCATTGCCAGCCCTTTCAGTTGCGCGTAGTATTTCCCAGACCATTTGAAAATTGAGCAGTTCAGGCACCCTTTTAAGAGAGCCACGAGCTGCTGAATGGGCAAGCCATGCATATTTATTCCTGCTTCATGTTCAGCAAGGAGTTCGAGGATGGCTTGCATTGTGGAGTCGCTCGATACGTTGGTGTACAGCGCGGAAACGTCGGAGGACTCCACTACGCACGCGTTATTAGGAGACGCGTTACGTAGACGTTCTAGGAACATTTGGGTGCTCTTGAGGTGGGCTGGTATGTGGTTAAGGAACTGGGTAAATATTAGGCTTAGTAACCGGGTTATCCTAACCGTTGGCCTGTCTACACAGCTGATGATGGGTCTAACCTTGAATGATCATGGATTGATTGACGCAAGATCATTAGCTGATAGCAACTTGTGTTTTAATAAGTAGGTATATAACTGGACATGTTGGTTTATCGATTTTAAGGTACGAAATAACCGACGCTTTTAAACCTGCAGCCATTGCGACGCTGACCCATTGATTGTTTCTCAGAGGGTGGGCGGTAGAGGGCAGCATCACTAAGATGTTCCTCCGTTATCTCAACATCCAGCTGGCGAGGAATAACTACGAATTTCCCTCCCCCCCCTTATCACTAACAGGCAATCTTATTGTTTTCGGGTTTATTGATTCTCTAATTTCTTGCTTGCAATTTCTTTTGTGCGGCTGTGCGGTTAGAGATAAACATTCTATTGCGGTAGTGATTAAGGGTCTTGAGAACACCGTCCGAAAACATGCGAAATTTTATGGCAACTCCATCGTTAGGGTCCTGTTGTCTAGAAAATGTTCTAGCGAAAGGAGATGGTGGTAATGTCGCCGCCTCTTGGTTTTCGCCTCTATTCGATGTTTCTTGTTCGGCCTGGTAGTGGAGTTGATCTTGAAGCTCATAAAGGTTGAATGCTTTTCTACTCAAGGTTGTTTTAGAAATGGACTCTGATGGTGAAAAGCTTGGGCCCAGTTCTAATAGCGAACATGCACTGTCAGGTATTGTTATGCCTCCGAGTACGGTGGCTCTAGACTTTTTTGGTGCTTTATGAACCGTACTTTGAATCCTGGCAAAGTTCTTTTGTCTATGGTCTACCTCTATGGCCTCTATGTCTATGGCAAACTCCTCTAGGTTTTTTGGACAAATGCCAAAAATCCTACAATGAATAGCAGGGAGGAATGCCCCGAGATCACGCGTGATCTCGCCCCTTACCTTCGTATCGATCGTTGATGGGGGTGGTGCAGTCGTCAACCATACGCACCTCTGAACGGCTGTTCTTCCTCGGTGGAAGACAGGTGAAAAAAGCGGTATGTTTTTTTGGAAAGCCGTAGATCTTGTAATTATCGTGCAGATTCTCCTCTTTCTGTTTGTGCAGTTGAAGTGTTTGACCTAGTGAGTTGCGTATCAGTGTACCCTTCCAGGCTCTGAGGAAGGCGATTCTGTCGAAACGTCACGTACGGTTGTTGTATGTGTGTTAGTGTACGGAAGTAAACGTATGCTGTTTAACAACCTCGCGATTGCTGAGAGAGAAAACGACGAAAAAAACGCAGTGTCATCAACTGTTACTTATCAACTTGTGCTGCCAATAAGAGCAAACTTGACGCGTTTTAGAACCAGTTCCAGGAAATAATACGCGACGAGAAGACCTTCTATGAAATCGTAGTTGGAGACTTCATGGGGATTCATGTTTCAAGAAGAGAGGAAATCGCCTATCTGAGTCTCCTAACGGCATTACTATTGCGGAGATCGATCATATTTTCACGAACTGAAAATGCTGCCTCTTTGACACCTCAGTGATGCCTC